ATAAACGGCATACTGCGTCAGCATTTGCACAAAAAAAAACAGTTTTCTAAAAAACAGTTCTCACTAAAAAAACAGTTCTCTAAAAAACTAGTCATTAACTATTTTAGTACTATAGTTTGTGACATTTTGAACTTTTACGAGGAGGGTCCGACACTATGCTGGGATGACCCAGCGGTTCTGGTTGCTCGACCGCGGACTCCTCGGATGCGGCCTGGTAGATTAGCAGTCATGGCGACTGAGGGTGCAGCTCGTCCGCGACGCTGCCCCCGCCGCTTGCCCAATTATGGGGAAGAGTGTCATCGTCATCACTCGAAGAGTCGAAACAGCCATTGCAGATGATAGCGTGCCAGAGACCGCGACCCCTCACGTTCACGTGGGCGAACGCAAGAGCATCCGAGGAAGTGATCTCCTCATCATCAGTGCTCGAGAACAGATCAAAGTCAGAGACACTGCTCAGCTGCTCCTGGTCCGACTTCGAGTCCGACTCCCAGAAGGGCAGCACGGTCTCAACCTCTATCTCGTCCGAGACACTTGCCTCCTGATCGCTTCTGTCGTGTCATCGTCAGAGGAACTAAATAGAGGTAAAACATAATTGATATGGATGAAGAATTGGATGCTTTTTTTTGTGGTTTACATTGGAAAGGTTCAAGTTAGTGGTCAAAGGTTGAAAGGAGGAGTTGTTCACATGGCACCAGTTTTAGTTAGTATAACAAAAAAAGATGTCGAAAACAACAGTTACGAGTGTAAGAAGCGACTGAGTGGCTACAAGTCTTGCAGACGAAAGAGGCACTTTGGAAAAAATTCATCCGCCACTTTTCGCCAGCAAGCGAAGCACAGCTTATGCGCCATCTCGCCCTCATGAATCTAACACAAAGCCTTCCCCTCTTTCTTGGAAGAGGTTGTCCAGCTCTTCTTTATTCGCTAGCCTTTTCTTAGTTTTTGCCTTTCAACACAAAATTATCGAAGTTTAGCATTAGAAATTAAACTGAGTGATCGTCAGTTTTTGGGATGAATGGAGAATTTTTTTATTCAGGATGACGAAACTCAATTTTTGGGATCAATTCACTTTTTCATTATATGCGATTAAACTGGGTGCAGTTTTTGGGATACGGAAGTAAGTTTTTCAATATCTGGGATGAAATTTGGCCAAAAAAACTGACGCAAATTATCCTGGCAAGGTGATTGTCTAGTGCTTTGTCGTGCGCCTGCAGGCCTGCTCGAGATCTTCTAATTCTTGCAGTGGTATCGTGTCTCTGGTGCTATAAAAAAAACTTTCTCTGTTCTTATTTATTTCGACAATTTTTTATCAGTTTAAGGTTTGATATTAACCACAGATGCAACAGAAGCTCATTCAGAGCCAACATTGGAAAAGTAGGGTAGCAGCTTGCTGAATGGCTCTTCGTCTTTCCGCTCGTGTCGCAAAATTCTTGGCAGCCGTCAGCAGGTGTCAACGATGGTTGAATTTGACATCCAGAGCCATAGACTCTGAGTGCAATTCAACCATGTGTACCAAGCCAGCTGGCATAACGAGGGCCTGCCGCTCCGCCAGAACAACTTTCTGACACCATCCAGCATCACAGCGAGGGTCATCCACGGAAACATTGGTTTTCAACCAGGAGAATGCTGCATCAGGTATTCCTGGAAAATTTGATTGCTGTTGATCGATAGATTGTTTTGCAGCCTAAGAGAAAAAAGTACTGAATTGAACATATTTCTTTATATCGTCGAAAAAATTGTGCACCAAACTTTGTTTAACCTTTAGCTGAAATGTACATCACAGATGCATCGAGAAATCCTGGTGAAAAGGTGTTACTGCACCAGCGTGCGACAGGAGCAGGTAGCTTGAAACCTTCGTCGACCCTACTATCCTATCTCCTCCATCTTCCTTTTAAGTATGTGTCACAGCGACACATCCTTGACTGCTTTTGGGAGAGAGAAATTCACGGCGGCCGACAAGAAAGCATCAGCACCAATGATGTTCCAGAATATTGACGGCGTTGATCGGAGAAAAATTTGAACGTCAGCTGGCCTAATTGATTGTGTATAATCCTATGATTGAACAGAAATGCGAGGTTAAACTTCTTTGAAAACTGGTCCACTCGGTGACTAGGAGTCTAATTATATTACAAACTGATAACCTTTTCCTTCAAGCTGTACAGTCTAGCTCTGAGTTCTCGGGGTATTCCTTCAGAAATTCGTCATTAAAATTCTCCCCATACATTCGGCTGTCAAACTGTCAGCTATCCGCAGGCCCTGACAGTTGGCTTTTGAACCCCTTGATGAAACTTCCTTGTTGGCCAATAAACCAGTCTGACTGGATCCAGTTAACAAGATCAACCGCAGGCGCCCGCTGTATTTGACTTGAGGCAGGCATGATCTTACAAAATACGCAAAAAAGATGATCGAAAATTAGTTATTTCGACTTTGAGCTAATTTTAGGTTCAGATAATCACTTGCGAAAGTCTCCCTCTTAGTTCGCCGTAGTCAATTGGAGCTAACATGTCAATCTAACTGGCACTCGTGCTACTAGAGCTGCCTGAAACCACGACAAAACAGAGTGGTTTTTCCAAGAACTTCTGGTTTCTGTATCCGCACCAGAGGAAGTCGTTGATCTGTCCTCACCTGTGCGTCAACCAGATAAAGTGGCGAAATGGAACCTGGTACAGGAAAGGGCGAAAAGAATTCTGGTACGAGAGGAAGTGGATCTGGCATCAGACACGGTCCGTTCGGTACCTCAGGAAGTATCACCATCCAAATTGGCGCAGCTGGTGCACCGATGGGAAATTGGCCGTTGACTTCCGAGGTACGTTCATTTATAGTACCTGTCACTTCTGGAGCAGTAACTGCAGTACAAACAGTACCTGGAGCAGAGCCCTTGGATTTTTTGCCGTCATTCAGTAAAATAGAGGGCTAAAACAGTGATTTTGCCGACTAATGGATGGACAATTATAATTGCAGACTAGTGGGTGGACAATTATACAAAAAAATATGGCATTTTGTTACATACAATTGAAATGGTCAAAACGGGTTTCGGAACCTAAGGCTTCATTTTGCAAAAAATCGTCGCCAATTGTTCCTGTTTGTTCGAGCTCGTCACATCATGCCCATTTCTGCACGGCCCGTGTTTGTTTCCAGAGGGTAGTCTTGCTCGTTGTCTTGATCTGGTTCCTAACCAAGTTTCTGCGGTAGTCCGTCTCGTGGTTCGCCTTATCGTCGTTGTCGTGATACAACCTAGTTGTGCGGCCGCGGACTGAATTATTCGGCTTAGTGCTAAAACAGTTTGAATACTAAATCAAAAAACCCATTGATCGATGGGTTAAAACTTTTTTTCAAAAGCACACATCTTCACTCACTCTGATCATCGCCGATTTCATCCGCGCAGACCAAATTTGCCATCCTCTGCTTCGCTCTGAATAGTAATTGGCACACTTCATAAGTGTCCAGCTTAAAGTTATAACTTTTCCTAGTGGGAGAGAGCAGCTTTCGTCTGAGCCCAGATCTTCGATTGGCTCTTATCCTCTCCCAGCATCCAGGTGAAAACACATGCTCTGCAGTTCTGTAGCAGTCGCTGAAGCCCTCCGTGCCACAAAACAACAAGTCAGTTTTTTCAGTTTCGCACCCCCCTTCTCGCATGTTGCATTGTTGCCAAAATTGTTGGTCACCTTCTGAAACAAAAAAAAAGTCAGTCAAGGATTAGGATTTAGACTGGTAAAAGTTTTTCCCAATAATCAATTTTGCTATAAAAATTGGTTTGCGACTATAATTAAGATAGGATGTCCTTAAAAAAGCGAATCGAAATTGATACAAAAATTACAATACAAAATTGATTCCCCAATTGTGAAACGTGAATCACAATTGCGAATTAGATTGCGAAATAAGAGCCTCAAATTTTATCATGATAAGCATTTTATTTAAAAAAAACGTCATTAGGTCCCCTTAATTTTGATGCACGTTCACTTCGTTGATTTAAAAACATCTTGCAGTGCCTAGGATTTGATCCAGCGACCTCTGGTTTGGTAGATATTTTCTTCACTTGACCTGTTAATATTCTTAGATAAACACAAAGATAAGCGCAAGTACAGGATAAGGATAAAATTACTTTGGCACTCGAAACCAGTCATATATCGGATTGATCAGTACTGGATAAAGGAAATCAAATCGAAAAAAAATCAAATCAGATCTGAAAAAAGTTTTTAAATTAATTCGATATGTTGGATCAACCGCCATTTAATTTCTCCTCCTAAGTGACGCATCTTAGAGCCCCTTTGATCCATCATTGAGCAGCTTCGCCACATGTTCAACCACTTTTCAAGTCATTTGTTGACCCTCTCTGCTTTGAGTAAAAGTTTGTGATTTTACTTGACAGCTCATGGGAAGTCGTCCTCTGCCGCACGAAGATCTGTGCGCGCTGCACCTGGTGAACTTAACGTTGAGATTATTGTCGGGAGCGCACTACTAACACTATTAAGATTCAGAGTTACAGCAACTAGGATTAAGAGCTGGTGTTAGAGAGTGAGATAGAATCTGAGGTTTGATCTGAGGATTGAGAAGAGGTAGTAATTGTTGAAGAATGAATTGAAAGAATGAATATAAATGACATGACAAACTAAGCATCACAAAAGTACCAGTTAATTAAATACAGACCAATTAATTAGTTTGAGATAACTAGTTGACCTTGTCTGAGTTTAACCAGTTTTGCTTATGATTCAATTATTTTGTCTTACTTTGAGATGGTCTGACCTCAACACCCCAACTCAGGCTGATTTGGCTTTCAAGGTTCGACGATGTTGTTCCACTTTAGCCTTGCTCAGGGCTTTTGTCAACAAGTCAGCTTCCTTGAACTCAGTAGGGCAATAATGCAGTTCAAGTTCAACTGTCTCATTTTCCACTCGTTCTCGAACAAAGTGGTACTTCACATCGAAGTGTTTCGTTCGCTTCTGCATCACAGGATTCTTGCACATCTTGATACAGCTCTGGTTGTCCCACTTGATGACAATTGGTCAGTCAATAACTACGCCCATCTTAACGAGAAGTGATCGCAGATATAGAGCCTCTTGGTACTCAGCCTCACTGGTAGATATGACTGCAGTTGGCTGCTTCTTGGTGCTCCAACTAATTGCTGCCCCTAAATTCTGCAAATGAAAGCTGTAGCCAGTAGTTGACCTTCTATCATCCAAATCTCCAGCCATGTCAGCATCTGCGGATCCATAGAGTTTTAGACCACCAGCTTCCTTAGTGTAGCACAGCTCAAGGCCTTTACTCCCCTTCAGGTAACGAAGAACCCTCTTTGCAGCCACCCAGTGCACCGTTACCGGATTCTCCAGAAAACGAGAGATTTGCGTAACAGTAGCTAGAACATCAGGCCTTGTTTGCTCAGCTATGTACAATAACGAGCCCACAACGCCTCTGTAGTCCTCAGCCTTCATTGATACTGCCTCTGCTGACCCAGCTTCAGAGCAGCACTTCTTCGACAGTTGTGCGCTGATGTCAGCTGGTGTGCCAACTGGTTTGCGTTCAGCAAGGCCAAAACGGTCCAAGCAGTCTTCGATGTAACGAGATTGATTTACTGTTACCGTTCCAGGTGACTGCTTGACCTGCATTCCCAGGAACCAGGACAATGCGCCTCTGTCATCCATTTTAAATCGTTCGGAGGAACAGCTCCTCAACTTGTCAACTTCGTCTTAACATCTGCACCCAATGATGATGTCATCTAATCAAACCAGCACATAAATCATTGCATCGTTTGTTCCCCTCATCGTGAACAAACAGAAGTCGTTGCTGCTTCTAGTGAACCCTTTAACAAGTAGGAAAGTGCTCAGCGTCTGATACCAGTCTCTTCCTGCCTGCCGCAGCCCATAGAGACTTCGTTGTAGCAAGCACACTTGGTTGTCACCGCTGCTGAACCCCTCTGGATGCTCCATGTACATGTTTCTGCTAGAGGAGAGTTGAGGAAGGCTGACTTAATATCCATCGAATGAAGTACAAGATCATCTTGTGCCCCCAGAGCCAGCAGTATCCTCTTTGTTTCGGGTTCACAGGTTGGAGCAAATGTCTCATTGAAGTCAAGTCTTTCCACTTGCCTGAACCCTTTCACAATATATCGGGCTTTGAACCACTCCACTTGTCCCATAGCATCTCTCTTTACAGCAAGAACACATCGTCGCGGAATAACTTTTCGAGATTGTGGTCTATCAACAAGTGTCCATGTTCCCATGGCTTCTAGAGACTTCACCTCTAAAGCCATAGCTGCTAGCCAATGCTCCATTCCGGGTCCATACACTACTTCTGATTAGCCATTTGGCACTTGAATTCCAGACACTGAAGCATGGGTATAGACCAGTTTGTATCAAATGGGTGGGTTCCTTGTTCTAACGGACCTCTGCACTGGATGATCTGTAGACTGTGAATCTACTGCTTCGACCTGATTTTCTTCAGTAGCCCCACTGAATCTGCAGTATCACCCTCAGTTTGCGCGCTTCGTGTCTCCCTGGTTTTCAAAGTGCTTGGTTGCTCAATATCAATGCACCTCTCGGTTGATAGCTTCAGGGTTTGTAATGAATCACTGTCAAGAATGAAATCATCTGGAATGATGTTCTCATTGAAAGTCACGCTTCTTGCTAGCACCACACGTCCTGTTTCTAGATCCATCAGCAGGTAGGCGTTGCTCTCCTCGTCGTAGCCGATGAATTTGATTCTTTTGCCCTTGGATCCAGTTTCCGTATGTTGCCTCGATCCAGATAGTACGCCAGGCAACCAAATACACGCAATTAGCTCCCTTTTGATGGTTTCCTATAGTGCATCTCTGTCGGTGAAAGGCACTTCTCGTTTCTGGATGTGGGACACAAGTTGCGAACCCTCACAGCTGTCGACGTTGCTCGCACCCAAAACATCTTCAGTAGCCTTGCTTCGTCCAGCAAACATCGAGTCATCTCGGTGATCACTCTGTTGTAGCGCTCCGTTACACCATTCTGTTGGGGAGTATTGGGCACAGTGAAATCTTGCTTTACCTGGAGTTCTCTACAAATTCTCCTAAATGCATTTGACGAATACTCACCACCATTGTCAGTTCGCAGGCACTTCGGTGCTCCATGCTCAGCCACAAACTCCAGGAACTTCAGTAGAGCATCATTCTTCTTCACAAGATACTTGACCACAGCCAGCCGACTGAAGTCATCGATGAAGCTCAAGGCATAGCGTGCACCATGTATACTCGGTACTTCAAATGGTCCCTGAACTTCAATGAAGACCCATTGCCCCACTGCCGATGCTCTGCTGTCAGTCTTCTTAGGCACTGCTACTTTATGCATCTTAGAAGATGTACACACTTCACAGAACTCTAGCTCGCCCACATTGACAAGCGATGAAAGATCCTGATGGTTGAGGTGCCTCAGTCGTGGGTGCCACAACATTGCATCACTGGTATCCCCGCTTGTTCTCGTCACTAGAGTCATCGGGTTTCTGTTGAACTTGCACTCAAGGAAGAAAAGCTTGCCGCGCTGCTTCACAGGTAGCTGTCCCCCATCTGGTGCCATTAGATGTGACGCATCTACGGTGAAACTGAAGCTTGAGCCTCTAGCCACAGCTGAGCTCACACTCATCAAAGTCACACTGTAGCTCGGTACAAACAGCTTATTATGAAAAGTGTAGCTCTTCACAGCATCATGGCAGTCCCTGATCTCCACTTCCACTGATCCTTTGCCGTCAATCCTTGACCGCGTACCGTTGAGGTTCTCCACAGTTGTCCCCTCGTTTCAGCTCTCAAAGCTAGAATAAACAGATCTCTCGCGCACCAAACAATCAGTGCATACCTTATCCACAATGAGGTCGTCTCCCTTCATTGAAGTTGCAGCACAACAACTGAAGAGCTCTGTCATCCCCTGCTCGCACTCTCTTGCAAAATGTCCAGGTTGCCCAAACTTGAAGCACCCATGCTTCTTTGCTCCTGGCCCACTTGCTTCGTTCGACCCACTGCCTCGAGCACTCGATTGTCCGCTGTCACCTTTGGATTTGCAGTTCCTCGCCTTATGATTCTTCTGACCGCACACATAGCAGCCTTTACTTGACACTTCTTTCTTCATCCTCATAACTTGCATGGCTATATGACCATGTCCAGTCCTCTCTCCACATCGAGCCTTCCTTGAGTCATCGTAGTTCCTCAACCTCGTTCTTAGCTCTGGAAATGTCTTGGCTGGTTGAAAGCTCTCTTGCACCACAAAATGGTCAGGCCTGTCAGGCAGCCCTTTGATCACCAAAGCATTGAACAGTGTGTCCGTGATTCCTTCTCCAGCTTCGCTCAACCTTGTCATCAGCTCTTGACTGCGAACGAAATAGTCGTCCAGAGCCTCCTCTGATCCTAGGCGCAGCTTCCCAAGCTGACCTACTAGACAGACCTTCGTCGGCCTCTCAGCTTTGCAAAACTTCTCTTGAAGCAGCTTCCGAGCCTTCGTCCCATCGCCATAGCCATCTGTTTCTACGCAGTCGTTCTTTATGTACATCAAAGTGGTGTTGTTGAGCAGCAGAGCCAGGTGGGACCACACAGTGTTTCGATTGCCTTTCCTCTGCTGGATCAACACTGCACGCTCCTGCATCTTGGCGTGGTAGGCTGCCTGCTGATCAGCATTCGGACTCTGAGGGAGAGTAGGCTCAGCCTCTGGCAGATCATCATTGCCCATCACTGTCCTGAACACGCCCTTGTTGTGCATCAGCGCCAAAAACTTCGTCGACCACGCAGGAAAATCTTCAGATTTTCAATTAAAAGTCGCCAGTTTCAAGTCCATCGTTGCTTAAGGCTGCTAGCTAAAAGCTAAAAACTCTTGCAGAAAAATAATACAAGAAAAAAAAATAGAAATCTGCGCCGATAACTTGTTAATATTAAGAGTTAGAGCAACTAGGTTTATGAGCTGGTGCTAGAGACTGAGATATAATCTGAGGTTTGAGGATTGAGAAGAGGTAGTGATTGTTGAAGAATGAAATGAAAGATTGAATATAAATGACTCGACAAACTAAGCATCACAAAAGTACCAGTTAATTAATTACAGACTAATTAATTAGTTTGAGATCACTAGGTGACCTCGTCTGAGTTTAACCAGTTTTGATTATGATTCAATTAACTTGTCTGACCATGAGATGGTCTAACTTCAACAATCAGAACCTCTTCGTAGTTGTATCCGTCTAACTTCTGCTGAACTTCTGAAGCTTGCCTCCTCAGCTTCTCCATCTCGAACTAGGGTTTCTAGACAAAAGCATAAGCCTCGCAACCTTACATGCGATAGAGCGCTTCGGCTGTTCAAGATTTATTATGCTAATCTATAAAAAACGAAAATGATTACACGTGATTTCAAGTCGTTTTCTATTTCGATTTTAAAATCCCCTCGGAAGAAATCAAAACTTCATATCGATTGATCTTCTTGGCGTCTGAACTGATCAACTAGTTGAGCAACCTGGAACACCGCGTTCCCGAAAAATCGACGAAAGACAGTTGAGTCGTCACCAGGTTTTTGTGTCCCGAAAATCCCGCTGAATAACATAGTTCATTTTGCTCTTTTAACTGGGTTCTGGCCTTCGTATAGTAAAGTTTCAAACCTTGTACTAACCAGACTGTAATTCTGTGGTAGACACCAGAAGTTTACACTATAAAATCGAGTCAACATTGTTTTTTGTCAAATCATTGTTTTAGATTTAAAAATATACAAACAGGCTGCTGGTTCTATGCTCAGCTCCACGGTATCTTCTTCGTTTTTTTCTCTATGTTGACAAATGTCTGGAACACAGCATGTAACGTGGTGTTGATGATCATTTTCTCGAGCATCCCTGTGCACGTGAACAGAAACATGACAATGGCTCTGGACAAGGTCAATTGTTTTTTTGTGGAACAAGGTTCCGTTTCTTTTATCGGCGCAGTCATTCGCCTTCTCGACAGTCTGTTAATTGACCTCATTGAGAGTCTCGTTTTTTATCGGGTTTTCGGCTCGGGAGACTTTTCCGAGGTGCTTAAATTGAATATGATTTAGTTTCGATATTTGTTTTACCAAAACATTTCTATGCTTGTACAATGTGTTTGCTTTTGAAATTATTTCTTCAACTTACTGTTTCGCCTACATTATCTGGCTCTGCATGATCCAATTTGAGGCTTTCTGTGGGCTCGCCGTACCTGTGGTCTCGTGGCTCCGTGGTATCATCGGCTCGTGGTTCTGTAAGAGTGTAGGTTCGCCTCTCATGGTCATACGGTTGTCTTTCAATTTTTCGATAGTGGGGAAACGCCGATGGCCATGAAGAATTCGGATCTGATGATGCCGACATATAGGAATCCAGGTAGGCTGGTTGTGGCTGAAACTGCTGAGGCTGGCACTGATGTATCAATGAGGGGCCTAAATGGACATGTCGCAGAGGGGTATGTGGTTGCCTATGTGTCGATGGAAGTTGCGAGGCGAAAGGTCGCGGGGGTGATCGCAAGGGTTTACCGTTGCCGGGGAGGAAATGACGTCGTCTCTGGTGCTTCGAGTGGTGTTGGAGGCTCAGGGATGTTAAAAAGCACCGCAAATGGTGATCGAGAACTGGAGGCACTGAACATGATTACAAGAAATTCTACTTGATTCTGACGAAAAATGAGAGATGCATATAATATTGAGCTCAAGAT